TGGTCGAATCCTGACCGAGCCAACCCCATCGGACCAGCCTCTTCATGGAGATCGGGTCCGCCGAGCAGAGCGACATTCGCTGTTTCGGCACCGGGAAGCTGATCCACTTCTTTCTGCCCCCCCTCAAAAAAAAATGTTTTCTTTATGCTCGCAATGCGTTTGGAAGCCACACTGTAGGGTATTCAAGTGGAATGAGCGTAATAATGTATTGACTAACGAAAGCTAAGGATTTCTACATGTAAATTCGATAGAGTGGGTATAACATTTGAAATGGTATTACAGTATTTGCTTCAAAAAGGAAGCTAGAAAACCTAATAACCTTTGACACTGTATCGTTATTTCTTACAAATCATGTACTTGGAACCTCTATTAGGACACTACCTTGAAAACTAAATTCATATCAGAACTATCCGTATTTCCAGAGTTTTGTGCCACTTTTGAGCCCATCAAAAAGTCAAAAAGTAGGGATTCTTAAAGCAACCAGAAGATACATGGAGAAAGTAGAAAGCCCAACGAGCCCAAACAGTGCAGCACTACGGAAGTATCGTCTGTAATAGCTATAGCAGCGCAATGTGGAAAAAGGCTTTTAAATTTTCCAAAGTTCCGTGCCAGCGCTGTCCATTCCTATTATGTCTTGAAATTTGTATTGACAATCCAAACTGTATACTACATACAGGTATTACACAATCGCAGAATACACGATCTTTACGGTCTTGTCGAGCGTGCCCTTCGCGGTCATCTTCCTCTCGCGAAGTCTTTTAGCCTTCATACGTGCCTCTAGTACCTCGTTTTTCTTTGTTTCGCGTAACTGAGCTTTGGCTTCACGATTTTGCTTCTTTTTCTCAGTAGCCTCTTTGCACAACCTCTCACACAGCAATTTAGCTACCTTGCGTTTCACCTCCGCCTCCTGCTTCGCTATTTCTCTCCTCGCAGCGGCTTCCTTTCGCTTTATCGCTTCAATGGGACGCTTTCGCTCGACACTCCTCCATGTTTTGGGCACTTCTTGGCCCAAAAATGTCCTTGTGTAACGCAAGAAAGTCGTAACACCACCTGAGAGAAGGATTGTCGGGGATATGGTGCGCCTATGTGGACGTTCTCTACAACACGGCTAAGGAACAAAGCCAATACTTCAATGTTAAAAGAATGGAGCCTTGTTTGCCGAAGCTTTGTCTCCAAGCGGTTTCGTTCACTACCGTTGTTCTACCCCTGCTTTTGGTTAAGTTAGAGAACAGGAGCAGCCCTGTTTCTAGCATCCATTGCTACTTTTCTGGTTACACGGCACTGAATTTTCATTCGACCCACTTTGTGCTTCTCACTTGTTTTTCTAAGTGATAACCGCTTCGCTTTCACTGCAGCAACAGCATCTGCTAACGCTACTTCTTCAGGTGAATCGACTTCTTTCATGGCACAACCCATTTGTTGTGCACTTGGCTCACAACGTATTGCGCGATTTGCCACCGAGGTTTTGGCGCCTTGAGGTGCGGGAGGGCACTTTCCATTCTACGTGATTTTCTCTTTCCTTGGTGTGTGCGTTAGGTTTACTGGTTGATATTTGGAGAAGAACTGTATAGTTCCGTCAATGTGGCACGGAACTCTGAATGGCACGGAACTCTGAATGGCACGAAACGCTGGAAATACAGATACCTTATTGAGGCAAAATACTGTATATGATGAAAATGAGTACGAGTACTCGAAAATTTCGATTTCTCTCAAGGTATAGTGATTTTTGTATCGAGCTAACGGCTGGGACTCGTAAGAGCATCTCCAGCGGTAGGTCACAAAGGCAGTTATAACCACGTGTTTAGGACTCAGAAGCGTTTTATTGGCCTCATCGGTAGGACCTACTGCTGGTTTTAGCTTCACGGGGGTCTACTTTGGCACTGTGGGCTTCAAATAAGACTAACCCTTTGACTTGAATCCATTATTGCGTATTATCGACCAAATAGTAGAACCGTTTCGAAATTTTAGATGTGAGAATGATTGAAAAAGAAAGGATTTTTACAAAAGTCAACTGACTTAAAAATGGACTTCGTAGTGTTTTTAACCTGAGCATTAATTCTTTGTACGAAGGTTCTCGCTCAAATCCTCCCTTACAAAAACTAGGCACATGTTAAATCGATAAAATACCCCCCCCCCCTCGATTATTAGTAGCTTACGTAAACTGAAAAGCATTCATGTTTGTTTTGTGATAGCTGCCTGTTCTCGCCACTTACTGCACCATATCACTCCATCGACCTAGCTTTCCCAAATAGCCATATCGATCGCGAACGTTGCCAGCACTGTCAAACAACACGCACGCCATCTCTGGATTATTAGGATTGTCACCGACACCCCGGCAGAAAACAATTCCTTCGTCGGGCAGCTCGATCATAACCCTCATGTCGTCATAGCCGAAGTCGTGATTCTCACGAATATTGAACCTTTTCGCCTTGCTTGCGTCACCCCCAGAAAGAAAGCGATCAGGACAATCTCCCACGCATCGGAAGTACAGAGAATCGTTGTACCTACGTTGAAAGTGAAGAAAGATTTTAAGAATATAGCTCCATTGTCTGCCAACCAAACGTATTGAATACCTACCATCCACGACGAAATCCCCTTAGAAAATCGTCGTCATAATAACCTGCATCGGGCACGCGCACACCAGAATAACTGATGGCGATTTTTGGTTCAGGTTTACCCTGCGAAGGATAAAGGCGTAGTATCATTAAGCACTCTTCTGCTGATGGTGGAGGAGATAAAATCTGTTGCAAGTAGCCCACAAAACGACTGGTCAGACCACAGTACCTATGTAAGAACTAATAGTACCGGTACAGTGTAGCAAGCCTACCGCGAAGTCCAACATCACCGACGTCCCCGGTACTAACTGCTGGCTTGCGTTCTTACATGGGGCAAAGATGTCGAACTTTGCACGGAAGGTTGCTTCCTTAGCGAGATCAGCAATTTTGGATCCACTCCACGCGACAGACCGAGTGGTGACGCTCCGGCATTCATCGCATCCGACAGTGCCAGATGCCGCGAAGGCCAGCAGTTTGTCACCGTAGAATGCCAACTCGTCCAGAGCCTGAGAACGCACTTGCTGCACGTACACTGCCCTCGCTGCAGCGTAGTGAATGCCGTTTGCGCGCAGCGTGAGTCCAACGGTCGACGCAGTGCTTGAACACGCAACGAAGCGATTCGGTCGAACATCGACTCGCTTTAAATACGGAGCCCCTACACTTGATGAGATCGCAGATGCAACGACGTAACCTCGTGAGCTTTGGGTCACGATAACACCGCGAGAAAGTAGACATGTCTCGATGTCGGTAGCCAATAATGGGTTCATCGTCTTGGCACACTGGATCGCAGTCATTCCGTTTTGGTTTGGAAGAAGGAGTTCTTTCATAAAAGCCCCCAGTGG